TTTAGCCAGGGTAACATGAGGACAGTGTCCAGTCTGTGCTTTTGTGACTGGAGGTATAGACAACGTGCCTAAAATAAACACACAAATGGACAGGAAAGCGAAGAGCCAAGCTGTCTTCACGCCACAGCCGACTATTACAGATCTAATGACCTAAGAGCAGTTATTTCCATCATATGAAGCACACCGATGCTTCCATATCCATTAAAACAAGAGCACTTAATTCAGACCAATTAAGCATGACAGAGGAGACGAAAAAAGGAAAGGACGGCGAGAAAGAGAGAAAGCGAGCGAAAGGTCAATACTTTCATTTAGTCATCAGGGTGAGCTGTCAGCCATGTGTTTAATGCTCGGCAATAAAAGCAGCTCCACACAGTCGGCCATATTCAGGAGCAAAAGTTCAACTTTTATAACACTAGCTGAACCATGCAATACACTCTATCTCTTCTCTCTTGGAGAAAATCAACCACCGCAATGATTATTTGGACATTTAGCACGAAAAAACATGCACCTGTTAATTTGGAGATTTTGGGCATGAGGTCCAGTGAAAATAAAATATCTCAAACAATCTTAAAATAAGATGAGAAGTGCTTATTTTTATGCACTTTTGTATATTTGTGTCTCAAATCAAATTCAAATAGTATTTTTGTCACATACACAGTTATACAACAGTGTGTCATTCAGTGAAATGTTTACAACCGCCAGAGAAAAATAAAATAGTATCAATAAGAATCTAAATTATGGAGTATAATAAGAAGTAAATCAGACAATTTTGGATTATATTATTCAATTGTTTACAGATTTCAATTGTAATAACACATATTTTTATTTTTAAGATTTCACAAGTTCAAAGTTTTATTCACATCTGTATTCTGACGTTTTTGTTCACAAATAATGTGGCTGATTATGTAAAATTTTATTCATTTAAAAACTGTGAACATTTGTCTTTTATTTATGGCTGTATTCTCTAAATTAAGGGGTTATAAAAAAAAAATTCACCAGATGCAATTTGTAAACATTTTTGACTCTAATATGGCACAAAAAAGTTGCATGCACTGCACTTTAACCAATTCATACCTAAAACAATACTGCCTACAACTATGTGTACACCTATTCATTATACATATTGCTGTCAACATTGCCAATTTTACATTGTGCTGTATTTTTTGGGAGTACGGTGTTGTATGTTTTTAATTTTGCACTGTCAGGAGCCAGCACCTAATGATTTTCACTCATCATAGCACACGTGCTGCTGATGATGTGACAATAAAAGTGATTTTGATTTTGAAAAGAAACAAACAACAATGTTAATTAATTAATTCATCCAATATTTAGATATTTGTGCTAGAAAAGCATGCATATTACCATCTATTACAGTACATTAAATAATGCCTCATTTACAACATAACATTATAGAAAACTATAATGTTATAAACTTTAGTCATAAAAAAGGGGTAATACTTAATAAGGTTGTATTAATAAATCTTAGTTAATGTATTTGCTAACATGACCAAACAATGAACAATACATTTTTTTACAGTATTTATTCATCTTTGTAGATGAATTAATGTACATTAATGTACATTTGTACATTAGTTAATGGAAATGAGAGAGAGAGAATTTTGGGTTTCTTGCCAGTTTAGCTTCGATGGCTATGTCATAGCAAAAAAAAAAAAAAAAAAAAAAACACAGATCAGGTTTACCACATTTTATAAATAACACTTTCTATAATTATAAACATATTCTAACAATTAAAAGTCATAAACAGCAATAAAGAAATAACATAAAAATACATAATATGATAATGATGATGATGATGATGATGATGATGATGATGATAACATATATAAAATAAAAATCTAAAACAGTTTAAAGTTTACTTTTAATTAAAATTGTACAATTTTAGAAGGATTCACATTTAAAATTATTTCATTTAGAGTCTTAGTTTAAAATAGTTTTCTGACAACATTAAAAATAAGGCATTTCAAAAGAATATGTTTAACAGTGCGGTTCCAGCTGCAATATTGATATATTAGGGGTTCCTCTCCTTTGAGTAAGTGTTCATGGGTGAGTCTTGTGTGTCAAATATCTTCTGTAAACAATCTCATCATGTCTTGAGTTTAATTCTATTTTTTTGTAATTCTATTTCAGGCTTAATTTCAAAAAAGTTTTTTTTTGAGTACTGATCCCATTCTGCTAGCCATTTGTTAAGAATGTAACCTTTTATTGGTGGCTTTAAATATCAAGATGGGATTTTGCACTCCTTTATCTTTTCTTTAATGGAAATAAATGGATTTTAATAATGTGTTAGAAAATGTTGACGTGTGATTAATAAATGCTGTGCAAGTATTGTTTATTATTTATACCATAAATTCATACATTACCTAATGAAACCTTACTGTAAAGTGTGACCAAAAATTGTTTGCAATTCTTAATGTAATCAATCAACTAGAAACATTTTTTTTTCTGCAGTGTCTTGCCTTAATGTGAAACACTCTTGAAACATACAGTAGTTTACCGGTGTGTGTTGTACAGTTTATCATGGAAGAAACCCAAAAAGGCAGAGCATATCGACAAAATAATTAACTTTCAGCCCTGCCAACATGCAGGAGCCAGTTTTATCAAAGCTGGATCAATGCAAATCGATCCAAGCTGGATCTTGCTGTCAGATCTAATTTGCTAACAATATAAATTGTTGGAAGGGCTAAATGGAGAGAAACTCTGGCTATTTTTGGAACACTACACAGCTTAGGATACACTACACTGTAAAAGAAAAATGGTAAAACTTAACAATAAGAATCCATTAGTTAATATTAGATCATGTACAGCATTTACAAACATGAACAAATGATGAACAGCAATTTTTTTAATGCACTGGTTTATCTTTGTTAACATTAGTTAATAAAGATACAGTTGTTTGTGGTATTAACTGATGTTAACAAGCACAATTAGAATGTTAATAAAGCTTTAGTAAATGTTGACCAATGATTAATACAGTAAACGCTGTGCAAGTACTGTTTATTCTTACTTAATTTCACTAAATAAATGGGCTATATGCACAACTAGTGTTTTTCAGCCAATAATGAACTTTTGGCCAAAGGTTTAAGGGCCTATTTTCATAAGGTTTCTTTTACAGCATCAATGTTGATGATGAATAATGAATAATAATAATGTAATTCAAATATAATCCGTCAAATAGACTTAAACAACCATTTGGTTGTTAAAGCATAAAAAGAGACAAAAGACCATTTAAACAAAGACATCATCTTAAGCAGCAGGCTAGCATAAAAACTTCTAAAATACTAGGGGAAAATTAATTTCCATACTTTAAAGATATGACGCGGAAAAATATAATTTATTGCAGTGCTTCTTGTTTGGTCTGATACAAATTTTATTTTGTATCTCAGCCAGGCAGTGAAGATCCCTGTTTTTTAAAGAAATCAGATCTTAAACGCAGCATTTTTGTATGAGATTCACAATTCACCGGAAGCCCTGGGAATTGCTGACTAAAATTAAAAGTCTGTGTGCATATCCCTCATTAAATATAAATAAATATTAATAATTAATTTATAAAATAAAATAAAATAAAATAAAATAAAATAAAATAAAATAAAATAAAATAAAATAAAATAAAATAAAATAAAATAAAATAAAATTCCCAGAGATGGGTTACGGCTGGAATGGCATCTGTTGCATAAAAACGTGCTTGATAAGTTGGCGGTTCATTTCGCTGTGGCGACTCCGGATTAATAAGGTAAAGTAAAATAAAATAAATTTAAAGTGGTAAATCTCAGGAATAAACATATCTCTCTGACGCCGTAATTTTTCAAAAGATCCACTTTAGTACTTATATTTTGCAAAAAAATGTACACTTTAGGTACTATAAAGGGCCTCTTCTTCCTCAGGCATCTCAGGAGGTTTGGAATGAGCCCCCATATCCTCCGCTGGTTCTACACCTGCACTGCGGAGAGCATCCTGTCTGGCTGTATCACCACCTGATATGGAAATAGCACCAGCAGCATCACAAAGGCCTACATAGGATTGTGCGAACTGCTGGACACGTAGTGGGAGGTGAACTTCCCTCCCCTCCAGGACATCTACACCAGGCGATGCATGAGGAAAGCCAAGAGAATTATCAGCGACTCCAGCCACCCAAGCCATAGACTTTTCTCTCTGCTACCCTCAGGCAGACGGTTCCCCAGCATCCGGTCACGCACTAGCCGACAGAAGGAAAGCTTCTTCCCTTAGACTATCAGACTGATGAACACTTAACAAACCTCACACAGACTCTTCCATAACCCTCAATGCACACCATCAATGTGTAGCATGCACTGCACTTTAACCAATCTATACTTGAAACAATACTGCCTATAACTATGTGGACACCTATTCATTGTACATATCGCTGTCAATTTTACATTTTCCTGTTTTTTTTTTTGTTTTTTTTTTTGGAGGAGTATGCTTTTGTATTTTGCACTGTCTGTATTTTGCACTGTCGTTGTATTTGTACTATCTGTATTTTGTACTGTCTGTAGCCAGCACCTAAGCTTTTCACTCATCATAGCACATGTGCTGCTGATGATGTGACAATAAAAGTGATTTGATTTGATAAACATTTAAGGAGCTGATATAGACCGTCTTGAACAAATGTCTAACTCTGAAAAGGTACAGCCTCAATTACAACTTCTGTGTGTATAATATTGTAAATTTTTGTATTTTTGTTTTTACGCAAGAATATATTTCTGTCACAAGACTTCTTTATATTGCTTATGGCTATTATTCTCTAATATAAATGCCATATTTAAGATGATTTCCATAGGTATCAGTTTACTATTCTAGTTTAAGCTAATAATGATCCGAAAACACATTTAAATTTAATAGGTTATTTGTGTTTTCATGCAAAAGTAAAATTATAGAAAGTAGAAAGTATGTCATTCCACACACCTAAAATTGATTCATTCAAATTTTAGCGCTTTGCATTGATACAGTGTCAGAATACTTACTTCTAAAGCTTTGGAGCGATTGGCAAGAAATTCTTCAATTTCATGTGATGCTTTTTCCACCAGTTGTCGAGGATTGTTTTGCCTCACAGTATAATGTCTCTGAAAATTATTGAAAATCTGAGAAAGAAAGAGGAAAAAAAGAGTTTAAAGATTCCAAGGTTGCTTTCTTACATCTGTCTCAAATATCATTACTTACTAGCATATATTGAAAAAACAAGAAGAAAAAAAGATAGAACTCTTGTGGAATCATAGCCTTGACAGACGGTGGTGTGTTTATGAAAATCTTACCCACAAATCTAATTAGTTTAAAATATAAACAGCAGATTTAATATTCAAACTTTTTGCTTGTAATTAATCCTTAACTTCTATGCAAAAAAAAAAAAAAAAAAAAAAGAGCATGTACCTTATATTGTTTTTTAGGCTAAAATAAACAGCTAATTATTGGAAAAGTAATACCCAGTAAAATATGAATACTAAAGACAGACTTAGACTCAGGTTAGAATGGATTAGAAATTACATAATAAAAAATAAAATAAAATGAAATAAGATGACAAGATGCTAATGGTCTAATCCAATTCAATGATCTATGCTAAGCTAAAAGTGCACCTATCAGACCTGGACATCAGCTGAATGGATAAAAAAAAACTTGATACTATTTTCAAAAAGGTGGAGTGTTCCTTTAAAGAGGCCCTATTATGCCCCTTTTTACAAGTTGTAACTTATGTCTCTGATGTCCCTACAGTGTGTACGTAAAGTTTCAGCCCAAAATATTTTTTCTTCTGGAGAAAGTCTTATTTGTTTTATTTCAGCTAGAATAAAAGCAGTTTTAATTTTTTTAAAAGCCATTTTAAGGTCAATATTATTAGCCCCTTTAATCTATTTTTTGCATAGTCTTTGCATTAAGCTTTTAAATGTCACTTTAAGCTGTATAGAAGTGTCTTGAAAAATATCTAGTGAAATATTATTTACTGTCATCAACTGGCAACGATAAAAATATTAAGTTGTTAGAAATGAGTTATTAAAACTATTATGATTAGAAATGTGTTGAAAAATCTTCTATCCATTAAACAAAAAATGGGGGAAAATATAAACAGGGGGGCTGATAATTCTGACTTCGACTGCATTCACTCTATTTAGTACAGCAATCAGAATCGACCATGAAAATGAAGCACATCATAATTATTCACATGAAATAAATGCACCCTTGTTAAGAAAACAAGACTTTTAACCAACATTTTACTAATTATTGTTTGTAAAATAGTCATAATGACACAGAAAACAAAGATTTTTTTAGACAAAAGTGTTGAATCAGACCATGCCAAACTGTTGCCAAAACATATTCAGCGATGCATACTGTATTACTGAGTGCATACTGTACAGTTGATTTTACATAGTACAAAACAGTTGTGCGGTCTTACTTTTTTGAGCTCTTTTATACCGCTCTCAGAATCGATCAACTGCACGAGATCTTCCTGCATCTTTTCTGCCCATTTCCGGGTCCTGCAAACATGAAGGGCAAATCACATGATCAGTGTTGAACAACAGTCAAAAGCTTTCATTGATGATTTCTTTCATTGTTCACTAAAGGGATAGTTCACCTAAAAATTTAATTATACTCATTATTTACTCACCCTCAAGTGGTTTCATACCTTTATGATTTTTTTTAAAGAATATATTTTGATGAAACCTGTAACCATTGGCATCCGCAGCAGAGAAAACAACAATGGAAGTCAATGGCTGCCTACAAGCTTTCAGTATTTTTCAAAACATTTTCTTTTGTGTTCAACAAAAATGTGAAACCAGTAATGGGTGAGTAAATGATGAAATAACATTTTTTGGGGGGGTGGGCTATACCTTCAATTGTTTTTTAAAAAATGAAAAGAAACAACCTCTGAACAGTCCTGCTAATCAACATTACTCTAAGTGATAACAATAAAAACACAGTGAAATCATCCAATTAAAATAGACAATTTCTAGCTAAATCATCATTTCAATGGATGTCTCAACTATATGTGGATTCTCTTAGATATGTCAGTATGTCACAATAAGGAAAAATGACAACAATTATCATCTGTTCTCATTGTGTCTGGTAACGTTTCACAAAGCATCAAATTTAAGAATGCAGGTGAGTGGAAAAAAGTCAAAACAAGAAAAATAGAAAAGAAACCATTTACAAAACAAGTTTCATATCACATCAATTTGAACATGGCTATTTTTATTGAAAGTACATAGCAAGGACATTGTCCAGTAAACATTTAATCTACTCATGTTCCAGTACAACCTAAATGTACTGTTACTCATGTGCGGACGTTCCAAGATAAATGTACAAGTACTCATCAACTAATGTTCTGGAACTATTCCTCTTTTCCACAGACATTTTTTTTCCCCAGACAAAACAAATGTACCAATACTTACTTGATGTTTCAGTACTCTTAGGTTTATGTTACACAGCTAATGTACAGTACCACTTATATTATTGTACTACTGTAGCCATTCAATCATTCATTCTCTTTTCAACTCAGTCCCTTTATTCGTCGCCACAGCGGAATGAGCCGCCAACTTATCCAGCACATGCTTTACGCAGCGGATGCCCTACCAGCTGCGACCCATTTCTGGGAATTCACACATACACTACAGATAATTTAGCTTACCCAATTCACCTGTACCGCATGTCTTTGGACTTGTGGGGGACACCGGCGCACCCGAAGGAAACCCACACCAACACAGGGAAAACCATCAAACTTCACACAGAAATGCCACCTGACCCAGTTGAGGCTCGAACCAGTGACCTACTTGCACGAGTACTCACTCGCTCACTTTTCAAGATGAATAGTCAATTATTTATTAATATTATAACTTTATATTACTGCCTATCCAATGCATATTTAGCCTTCAATAATAAAACAACTTCCAATTGTTCTTAAATATTGTGCTCGATCAGCTCACATAATTTAAAATGTATCATAAACATATTTTGACATTTTAAATGTAACCAATGTGATGAAATCCTTCCGTGGTAAACTTCTGTTCCACATAAAAAACTAATGTACCACATAATTATGTATTTACAGTATGTTACAATACTATTCCTCCACACTAGTATGTTTATGTTGAACACAAAAGAAGATATTTTGAAATATGTTGGAAACCTGTTACCATTGACTTCCATAGTATTTGTTTTTTTATGTACAGTGTGTCAATGGTTCAAAGTTTCCAGCATTTTTCAAAATATCTATTTTTGTGTTCAACATAACAAAACAAAACTTTTCCTTTAAATACACATTAAATCAAAACTAACCATATGATTTGTTAGCCCACATTGCATTTTTGTGGTGAAAAATTCATCTGCGCATGTCATTAAGAAAAAAAAAAATTGGTTGTGTAAAATTAAAATCTGAAAATGTTCTTCCTGTTTGTTTTCAGTTAAATGATCAGAATACGTCTGTCTGAGGTATTGGGCGTGGTTTACATACCAGGGCAGGAAATTAACTTTCTTACTTGGTAGCACCGGTCCTCCCAACCAGAAAAAATTTAGGAGCACCAGAAATAATTTTGGAGCATCCACCAAAAATGAATGTATATATATATATATATATTTGACAAGTTGTATATTAAGGGATCTATTGTATTTGAAAACAACATCAATTGGGACTAACAAAACCCAGAAACAACTATCTAACTAATGCTGTGATGACTTAATATTTGTGCAATAATTCCTAAATGAATGTTGAATAATTATAAAATATTAATGATGACGATGATGACAATAATACTATAATAATGAATTATATTTCTCATCATCATGCTGCCTTGAATGTGCTTTAATGTAAGCTATCTGCTACCTCCTACTGTTACTTTATGAAAAATAAATTGATGGTTTGCATCAAACACAAATGAAGCATTGTAGTAAGAAATATTTATTTTGTACTATTGTTTTTTTATATGCATGTCAATTTAATAAATAATATTTCTGCTACAAAACAAAGAAAATAATATAATAAATCATTCAATTCAATGCTGAAAGCTGCAAAGCAGTCATCAGTAATTAAATAGAAAAATAATATACACCCAGAGACTGTAAAATATACACCTCAAGAAAGAACGGACAAAAGAAAGGAATAAAAGTCTCACTTTTTAAAGTTTTGGTTTCGGTTCATGTTGTTTTAATGCTCAGCCTTGTTATGCGCTGAATTACATTTTTCTGTGTTTGCGGAAAAGCATGCCGGCCCAATATATGAGGGGGCAGAGCAGGATTCTCCTGATGACCACCGGCGCAATACTGTTCTTTGTTATAACCCGCATCAGTTTTAACTCAGTAAAGGCAAGCTTCTTTGGCGATGGTGTTTTAGCGGACATTACTGAGTTTAAAAAGAAACGTATGAAAAAGTTACAAATTGCCGTGAGATTATGTTGGCTGAACACGCAGTGCATGAAACGCATAGAGAGTCAGTGGACTTTTCACTCTTCAGCCGTTTGCATTCCACCGCGGTCACAAAAGCTCCCTCCCTGTCATCTGACAGCGGAAAGTCTTGAGTGATTGACAGCTAATATGAACCAATATAGCGGCAGGGAAGACCGATTTTACAACATTTTTAGAAAAAAAAATAAACAGGTCGCGCTACAACTATTATATGCAGTCGCACGAATACTCCCAATATATATTATGAGGTCGCATAGCTAAAATTTCGGGCGCATTTGCGACCAAAATGGTTGCAATTTCGAGCCCTGCATACTTAACCACGCCCCTCCAACCGACAGAAATGGTGAACAGGAGGTGTTTATTAGGTTGTAATGACTCCACAAACACTTTCCCGATCTTTCTGAATGAAATGCCTACTTTATATCCAATCAGCACGCAGTATGTAAAACAAGCCACACCCACTGTTTTCTCATGTAAAATTCCATTTCTCTAGGAACTTCAAAAAACAGTCACTGCTTTCAGTTTGTGCTGACTTTAAACTGGTTTGAAACAAGTCAAGGGTGAGTAAATTATAGCAGAATTCTCATTTTTGGGTGAACTATCCATTTAACATGTACAGATGACAGGGTCTTCGTACAGTTTCAATGATTGTACATTTTCAACCGCACCCACAGTCTCAGATTAGCCCACTGCTGACCAGCCACCTGCTGTTTTAAACACTCAACACAAATCTAAAACGGTTGAGTCGACAGCATGCATGAAGCCACCATCTAAGGGCACCATAGACTTAAAGAAACAGAGTCAGAAAAAAGAGGTGATAAGGTGCAAGAATTCAAATCAAAGCCTTTTTCTGTCACCAACACTATGAATCTCTTCGCTGTGACACAAAGTCGTGGCAGGAAAGCATGTTAGATGCATGCAAGATGACCTGCAGCATAAAATTGACAAAACCAAAGGCCACAGTAAACTCCCTTTTTGCTGGAGGGTGATGGATTTGGATGGTTCTTGTGGGAATGTTTTGCTATTTAAAAAAACAGTGTAAGCTGAGACGAGGAACCACGAGTGGAGTGCAGTATATTTAGCAACGAGGCCTCGGCTTTAGGCAAGACTGATATGAGTGTATTTACAGTAGGCCTGATGTTACTTCTTATAATTTTAAAAACAGACTTATGCTAATTTGAAGACACATGGTTTGTATATATATCTTATTTAAAATTGTATTTATTTGTATTAAACAGTAACAGCTGCCAATTATTGTGCAGCATATAAGGAAACTCATTCAATAACAGAAAAAAACATTAATGTTTGTTTTTGCATAACAAACTGACATTTTTTAGTTATGATGACTTTATTACAAAATAATGTGGATTCTTCTTGAAGTGAATCCATCTTGAATGCTTTCAATCATGCATTTAGATCTATAAGATCAACCCTTACATTAAAAATATTGAATACAATTTCTATCTATCTATCTATCTATCTATCTATCTATCTATCTATCTATCTATCTATCTATCTATCTATCTATCTATCTATCTATCTATCTGTCTGTCTGTCTGTCTGTCTGTCTGTCTGTCTGTCTGTCTGTCTGTCTGTCTGTCTGTCTGTCTGTCCGTCTATCCGTCTGTCCGTCTATCTGTCTGTCTGTCTGTCTGTCTGTCTGTCTGTCTGTCTGTCCGTCTGTCTGTCTACCATCTGTTTTTATCATCTGTAATTATAAATATTAGAAATAATAAATGCATCATTATTTATTACTCTATTATTATTATTATTTTATAATTATTTATTCATTTATTAATTATAAATCATTTAAATAACAATTAAAACAAAATTATTATTTACATATTATTTAAATGTCAAAATAACCCATGAAAAATTATTAAACAAATAAAACAATAAATAATTGACAAGCAAAACAGACATATAATATTTATTAGTCTTTAATAATTTTTTGAAAACACAAAAATTATATGAATTAAATAATCAAAAATGTATAATTAAATGAAAATCATTGGACTATGAATAATAAATAATAAACATGACCTGAGATAATAATTTGCAGCAATACATTGACCCATAA